ATTACTCTGAAAAGAGCCGCTAATACGACATCGTTCGGGTACGTCAAGAATCGTATAAAGGTTGTGATTGATCAATAAAGAATTCGTCACTCTTAGATAGTAGGAGATTATGATCTGCCTTTCATTCAATTAAGTCAATGATGAAATCCTTGGTCAATGTGTACTCATAATTCGAAAATGAGTTTTCGACTTCTATTGACTTAATACTAAAGTGAAAGACATGATCGTTAATCGAGATCGACACACTTCCATATCTCGTTATTGATCGGATCATATTGACGAATGGATTATAGTTTCACGGTAAACGAACGAGTTTGGTTTTGTCATACTACGTGACATTTCCCATCACATGTATTGCCCTGACACATTGCTAGATGTCAATTTGGGACAGCGAGTGTGAATTGATGATAAATTAAAATGGTATTTTAATTTATCAATTTTGATTAGATCAAAATAATATTTCACGTCGTTAGGTATCGTAATTGGTAACCTGATGGATCGCACACAAAAGAGAATTGGAAGATTGCAAATTTTTCAATTAATTAATTTAACAATCGTTGGATAAATTAATTAATTGAGTTGGTTATTTATAAGCCCGAATTAATTAATTGGATTAATTAATTCACAGACCGGATTTAATTAAATGGATTAATTAAATATTGGATCAGACCGGACCAAGCCCGTTTGGGCTTATATAAATACATTGCTAGGGTTTTCATTCCAGATGATTTTTCTTATAATTATTCTTGCTAGCATAAGAGGAGAAAACCCTGGTAGCTGCAATCTTATTCTTTGTGTGAATCACCGTTAGAGGCTGGACAATTGGACAACTGTGGGTGGCGAATCAAGATTGCTGGAACGAAAAGAAAAGCAAAAGGTTTGCAGAATTCTTCAAAGGTACAATCTTTATCACGATTTCTATCTAAACACAAAGAAATCCTCACTGGGAATCGAAATAATTTTAATTTTTCACTGTGAATGTATAAGTAGATTCCCAACAGTATTAACTTTTAAATTTTGCACCCGATTTTGTTCAAGTTTCTTTGCTTCACAAAATCATTTCTAAAGATGAAATTTCTTCTTGTATTAGAGGGTTCATTCAAGATCTTAATTTAAACTCCAATCCTAACTATTCTAATTCAAACCTTGAATAATTATATTTTTTTGGGGAAAATGACTTTTTTGGTTAATATTTGTAAATTATTTTTAAGCGGAAGTCATTTTCAATATTTAAAAGTTTAGAACTTTAACTATAGTAATTTATTTTTATATTATTTTCATTATCTTTTATTTTTTAATTTAAAGAGGAGGATAAATTAATTACTTTACACTGAATTAATGGATAAAATAGTAAAAACCTTTTGTGTAATGAAAGCAAAATGATATGAGAGTCCAATTAAAGCAAACGATTGGGACGCTTTACACCAATTACCCATACTAAAAATTTAAAAAAAAAAAAAAAAGGAAAAGAAAGAAATTGACAAATGACAAACTTGGCAAAAAAAAAAAAAAAAAAAAATTAAAAAAAACCCAAATTGAAAAAAAAAAAAAAAAAAAAAGTTGAAATAAGGTTATAATTGTCAAATTTGAAATGATGGTAACAATTTGTACAATAAGTGCAAATGTTGCGAATATTTTGTACTAATTACCTTATAAAAGTTAGATGTGCAACAAATTACTTGAACAATTTGTGAGAAAGAAAAGGAAAGTAAATGTTCGTGAGAGTACATCAAACCTATATTTGTTTAGATAAAAATTGTAATTGAAAAGTTATGAATCTTGCAAAATATATAATTAAATTTAAGAGCTTGTTTGATAAAGATTTTAAACCAATTAATTTTTTTTACGATTATTTTACTATTCCAATCATCATTTTTGCATTTTTCTCTTATAAGTAGGACTCACTTTATCTTTAACGATCAAAAAATCAATTATCAAAATTCTTAAAAAACAAACACTAAATATTAATTAGCTTGTTTAGCTTAATCAAATTGAGGTAATTTTGTGTGTGACATTCGTGTTCGTGTGCTAGTCCACAATTTTATTTCCTCAAACAGGCTATACGCACTCGTGTGACAGAGTCAACTGTCAAATCAACTTATTGTTGTTCCAAAAGTGGGCCCCAACACAACATGTCTTGCCACCTGGCATTTTATATTCCGTGTCTTCAATTTATAGATAGTAATGCACGTGTTCCCAACTTTCCTCTTATAAAAGCCTCTGTCATCTGAAACAATACTTTAGTAAGCAGAAAAATAAAATCAACATTGATTATATAATTTTCATGGATTCATTAGGTTCATCTTCGGACCCGACCCAAATCCATTTGGCGTTTTCGACATGCCGCAGATTCCATCCTTGAAGGGACATTCTGATGAAGAGGTAATTCTAGCGTCGAGTAAGCCCAAGAAACGTGCCGGGAGGAAGAAGTTCAAGGAAACGCGCCACCCGATTTATCGAGGCATTCGGTGGAGGAATTTGAACAAATGGGTATGCGAGTTATGCGAACCGAGCACTCAAAAACGGATATGGCTAGGAACTTATCCTACTGCAGAAATGGCCGCACGTGCTCATGATGTTGCCGCATTGGCATTCAGAGGTAAGTTGGCATGCCTGAATTTCGCCGACTCTGTTCAGCGTTTGCCGGTGCCAGTGTCCAACGATGTGAAGGATATTCAAAAGGCGGCGTTAGAGGCAGCAGAACTGTTTAGGCCGACAGAGGAGGGTGGTGGGACAATCTTGCAAGAAAATGTGATGGATTCTTCGGAGGTTTCTGGTGGCAATTTGACAACATTGGACACAACAAAAACATTATCAGATTGTGATGTTTCTTCCATGAATGAGGATTCAATGACAAACATGGGAGGGGTTTTGATGTCATCACCACCTAGTTTAGACCAGAGTTTCAGCTGGGATGATTTGGAAAGTGACGCTGAGATGGAGCTTTGGAGCTATTCTATTTGATCATAATTTAATGAACCATATATAAGACAGAAGTATATTTTACAAATATGGTAGAAACAGACAATATGTTTGTTTTCCTATTGGATTAGTTCAGTAAAATTGGTAATTCAATACCGTCCTTCTATTATAATCTTGTTTAACCTATTTAGATGAAGTTGAGAAAAAGACTACAATAACTAAATGAACTAGAAACTCTCGTTAACTTTATCTAACTTGATATAAATGCTTATATTGCTTGAAATTCGTGTGAATAAGGAATAAAAAATTGACCCCTGCTATAGAAACAGGGCCAATGATAGGTTCTGTTGATAGGGCCGAGTGGTAAAAGCCTAAAAAGTTTCTCGAGGTATTTCTTGATGTAAAGATTGGTTTGTACCCATCTTTTAGTGCTGGTCACCAGTGGAGAAAAAATTAACCTAGCTAATTGGAGCCTTTCGTATAGAATAGTAGCATGAAGAGAACAAGGCAGAGAGGAAAACACACTGCAGCCTTCAAATTGGAGGGCGAAAGTATTGAGAGAAAGTGGAAGAAATAGAAAATAAAGAAAACATAGAGATAGGAAAAGAGGCCCAAAAAAAAAAAAAAAAAAAAAAAAGGGTATACTTTCTAATTTTGTGTAGTGGGAGATACCGAGTAAAGAAAATTTTCTAATCGAGTTTTTGATAGAGGATTAAATGGAGCTATGTGAATTCGTCAAACCATGTAAAATGTTTATTCCTTTTCCATTGTGCATATTGTGACGATTTTAGTCATCAACAACTCTCCTCTTTTCCATGGACGATGGAGTTAAAAAATTTAGTTGGTCTCTAAACTATACACGCTATATGCAAAAGTACTTGAATCTTTAAAAATTAAATTTTTAGCCCTTCAACTTAAGAACATGTACCGTGTAGTCCTTTTGTACCAAGAAACTAACGGACCTCTTATGTAAACAATGGAAATATTACATGGCATAATGAAAAAATCAAATTGGTTCCTAAACTACGCACCATGTGCACAGAAGGTCCCAAACTTCAAAATTTAATTTTTTTTAAACCTTCAACTTAACAATGTATATCTAGGAAGTCCTTTCGTCTCAAAACACTAATAGATGAACATTCCTACATGGACAACGAAAAGTCTGTGCGATATACTCATCACACATAATTAGTGTAACATCTAATTGGTCAACAAGGTTAAAATCTCACCAAGAAGGAAAACATGTAAATGATCGTGAATTTATTTATTATATAATCAGACTCCCCAACACTCAAATACACAATCAAAAAATCGATTCTCAATCACAAATTGCGATTGTTAATTTTTTAAAACGAAAAAGAGAAACAAACTTTGCGCAAATTCAAATTCATTATTGTTCATTAGTGTGACCAAGTTTCCTCCTAAATTTTAACTTTTATTTAGTTGTTATTAATAAAAAGTGTCATTTTTATATAGTACTCTCCTTTAGTGATTGTTTGATTGTGTTTTTAAATTATTGCAAACCGCGAGTCCTACTATCCACAGATTATGCAAACAATGAGTTAATAATAAGTTATGGATTCTACTAAATTCCTACTTGGTAGAAAATAAAATCAAAATTTAATTCAGGTTCAATAATTAATTTTAACATCAAATTTTATTAAATTTGCAATTTTTCAATCACACATTTTATAAATTTTTATCAAAATAAAAAAAAATATATAAATATATATATATGCTAAATTTGTAAATAAGAAATACATTGAATTAGAACCACGTGGCAGTAGTGCGTGGCATACGTGTTCGTGTGCCAATCGACAATTTGTTGCCTCAAAGTGGGGTCAGACAATTTTGTGTGAAAACATTTGTCAATGGTCAAATCAGTTACCTTAAGAACTAAGATTATTAATGTCACGTCAGATAATAAACCACGTTTCGAATTTGGAAATAGTATGGACCCACCTTTTGTGCTTCAGTGTTTCAACAGTTGGCTCTTCAAGTTCATATTCTTGTCCATTCCGTGTTCCCGTGTGTGTGTTTTTCCCTCGTACCCAAATATATAAAAACTGCCGCCATTTGCTGATTCCAAACTTAAAAACACCCCACTAAGTAACAAAAGATCCAACCTTAATTAATTTTTCTCTGTCTTGATCATAATTTCCAATGGATTCATCAAGTTCGTATTTATTCGAGTCAGAGAGTCGGGTTCTCAACATGCTGGAGATTCCATCCTTGAGGGGACATTCTGATGAAGAGGTTATTTTGGCGTCGAGTAAGTCCAAGAAACGCGCCGGGAGGAAGAAGTTCAAGGAAACACGCCACCCGGTCTATCGGGGTGTTAGGCGGAGAAATTCAAATAAATGGGTATGTGAGTTACGCCAACCAAGCAATCAAAAAAGTATATGGCTGGGAACTTATCCTACTGCTGAAATGGCGGCTCGTGCTCATGATGTTGCTGCATTGGCTTTCAGGGGTCGGTCAGCTTGCCTAAATTTCGCTGACTCGGTATGGCGCTTGCCAATGCCAATCTCCAGTGATGTCAAGGATATTCAGAAGGCGGCATGGGAGGCAGCAGAACAGTTTAGGGTGCCGGAGGAGGGTGGCGCCATTTTGCAAGAAAATATGGTGGATACTAGGGGGGTTTCTGGTAACAATTTTACAACATCAGACACAACAAACACATTATCAAATTTGACAACATTGGACACTACAAAAACATTATCAGATTGTGATGTTTTTTACATGAATGAGGATTCAGTGACAAATATGGAAGGAGTTTTGTTGTCACCACCTTGTTTAGACCGTAGTTTCAGCTGGGATGATTTCGAAAGTGATGCTGAGATGGTACTTTGGAACTATTCCATATGATGGCTTAAGCTTGCTCAGCTCGTTTTGGTGGGATGGACGCTATAGTATTGGATATATTAAAGAACAAAAAAGTTATAGTTAGCTCTGGTTTGGTGGGGATTAAAATCATATTTTTAGTATATTTTGATGTATCGTTGAAAAAGTTGTGTAGTTAAAATTATTTGTTGACTTTGACTTAGATTAAAATTTGGATTAAACTATACCAAACAGGGACTTAGATTATATTCAATAGTTAATACCGTGTATCACGTGTTATTATTTCATTAGTTAGGATTAAACTTGTATAAATAGTAGTTTGGAAAAATAAATTATGTAAAAAGATGCATTGTTTGATTGATGTAGGGACAATACATCATTTTTCATCGACACCTATTTTTTATGACATGGACATTAATTAATGAATTATTCTAAACGAAGGGGTCACGCCCCATGTACCCCCTAGATTGACAGTGCCATGTGGCTTTATTACAGTAACATAATCCTTGACCATCAGCAAAAGATTAAAAGCAAAATTCTTTTGCAAGACATTTATATTTAATAATGTAATAAATAAGGTATAAAAGAATCCGTTGAATTAGATATGAAGAAACATGGAACGCGGAACGTGTTAAAGAAGAGAAGCATATTTTCCCAAAAAATTCCTGCATGTCTTGTTGTTAGTGGTGCAAAATGGACAATCAATGACCCAACTTGCTAGTCGGTCAAGGCTTAGTCTGGACGTCCCGGGCAACCCATCTGCTTGATCAAGGCCAACAAACTGGGCATGGCTAACCTTCGCTAAAATATAGTGGATCTTGGAGTTTGAATTATCGTTTTCACGAAAATTATACTTTAATGCTTAATTTAATATTTCTAATTACTGTTTGAGAAAAACAAACGAAGAATTGTAAATTACTTGGAAATAACTGGATCCACAAAAAGATAGTTTAGAACTCAAATATGGAATAAGATATTAGGGTAAAACAATTTCATCCATTAATCATCTTTAAATATTAATTCAAGATTCACAAATCTAATGCAGTGATCGGTCGAATTTTTTTATTGTATTCAATATACCTAATTTCTAATATAGAAACGAAACAGAATGTGGTATATGTTATGTCAAGGATATTCATAAGAAAAACATCTCAATTAAAAGGGTTTAGTTTTGATTTTGATGCAGCACATCTGGATTTTCAAGCACTTTCAGAAAAATTGTCCTTAATTTGGAGAAATTCAGGCAACCATTTCGTCCACACCCTTTCATGGTCTATAAATAGGACCCTTTTGGTGTCCTATTCCTCACAATTTTTGATATGCAAAACATCTCTCATCCTCTCTTCTATCCAAAATCAAAATCATTTCATTTATTTTGATTTTCCTTCATTTCATTCTTGGAGTACATAAGCCTAAATTTGATTCGTTGTACTTGTGTTTTGGAGTGCTACAAACACAAGTGTAGCCGTTGTATCTTGGGAGTCGATTGCCGAAATCCGTAGGCACCGTTGCGGGGCAAATTCGACTTAAGGACAAAGAGTCCAACTCTTGCCTTGGCTTTGTCCCTACTTTCTTCTTCTTCTTGTTTGTGTTTTCTTTGCCGTTACTCTGTCCAATTTTCGGCACGGATTTACAAACCATCATTATACTTATTTTGGCGTCACTATTCACAAAATTC